TGAGGTGACTTTCCGCTTGAGGCTAGCGAGGATGCGTCTCCATGTACTCCCTCTGTCCCATATTATGTCGTTTCCGGTTTTCGTGCTACAAGTTTGACTCGATTTATAGAAAATACATACAACATTTGTATCTCTAAATAAATTTATTAAAAAACTAGATTCAAAGATCTTTTCAATGATACTAATTATGTACCATAAATATTATTATTTTTGTAATATATATTTTATCAAAGTTGTTTCTCGGAAAGCGAAAGCGACAGATATTTTAGAACGGAGGGAGTATATTGAGAAGCTATATTAAGTAGCGGAGTGTGGAGCTATTGATCTTATTTGGTATAGCCGTCTCTATGAGGTAATTGTTAGTGGACCCTGTCGATTCAGGTGGCGCGCTCCTTGCTCGGACCCCCTGTTGTGCCCTCTGTCATTCGATTCTCCATGGATCTTGATGCTTCTCTTGTTGGCCTTCAATTGGGAAGATCGGATTCGTTTTCATAGTCGCAGCTCCTCGAGCGTCGCGGGAGCACCGCAGCAGAGGGCAGAGAGCCCAGTGATGTACTACTCGAGACAAAGGCGCCGCAGACGGGGCAGGCGGGCAGCACTGCAGCAGGAAGTCGGTACCTGTGGCTGTGGCCAGTGAATCAGTGATGTACTGGAACAAAACAAGCCCTTAGTCTAGGCCTTAGAATTTAGTAGATTTTAATTGAATAAAATTGGGCCAAGCCACCCAATTAAAACACAACACATTCGAGCCCAAGGAAGCAACAAGATCAGCCCACTCAGCTAGGCCTACATGTGCAAGTGCACCATGCTCAGCAAGAACTAGCAGCGGCGCTCTAGCTCGTCGGCATGCTATGGCAGGATCCGTTAAGTACCCAAAAGAAAACAACTCTGTATCCGATACGGTTGGTTCCTGTACCAAGGAGGCAACTCTGCCCCGCGTGCAACCGATCGTGTTGTTTCCGTTTTGATTGGAAATGGCTACACTTTTGCAATCATTTGCTTTGCTTACACAACAGATTGTGTAATAATTACCGTAGAAAAATTGAGCAATCCACTGTCAATAAGGAACTGTGATGGCGCAGGAGCTAGCATTGCCATCCACCAAGCCAAACAGTTGTGCACCATGCTTACTTCCTTGCGTTCTTCGTTGCATCTTTTTTGTTGCATTCTTTGTTGCATTTTGTTTTGCCTTTATTTACTTTGTGCTTTAGTTCGCGTGTCATCCAAATAAAGGACAGAAACTATAGGACCACAAAAACTAAATTAAAGTCAGTGCCGCCGGACTTTATTAGCAGTTGCACACCAGACAGCCTTGTGCTTTAGTACATAGTTGACTTTACTGAATCCTGGTGGTTATGGTAACCATATGCTTCCTCTCTTTAACCTTTCTTTACCTTTAGAAAAATGATCGAATCCTGCATGCTGCCGACGCAAGCAAAGAATCATCTGATATATGGATGGCCACAAAACAAACATCCTACACTGCAAGCATGCATATCATATTTTTGCAAAAAAGGGGCAAAGTTGGCCATTTAGGGCCTGTTCGGCAGGACTGAAAAATACTGTTCCGGCTGATTGTTGTAAGAGAAAAATACTGTTCTGGCAGGACGTGAACAGTGATTCTGTGAGAGAAAAAACAAGCCAGCCGGCTGGCTTTAAGCCAGCCGAACACGCCCTTACTTTGCAAGCATTCATCTTGTATTAGGATCCTCAGGCATCGCCTCTGTCTCTGTCTGTCTGTCTCTCTCTCTCTCTCTCTCTCTCTCTCACACACACACACACACGAACGCACGCACACAACCTTCCATCCATCGTCGGTTCTGTCTTTCAGGCCAATTCTTCGAGTTCTACTCGCCGCTAGTTCCAATAATTCAGCTTGAACTGAGGTTTGTCAAATGTCTACTCCCTTACAATTGCAAATAGTATACGTCATCTTTCTGAAGCTAGCAGAATAGATATGATAGCACAAAATTTTGATGCATGCATGCAGTGTGATGGTACTAGCAGAGCAGGAATAATTGTTCTTAACTAGTTCCATGTTTGTGTCTTGATCTGGACCAGGCACCAGACTAAGCGATGGGTTAGATCGACCTGTAATCCAAACGTACGGCCGGAACAACTCATCTACTGCATGCAGCTATAACCATGTATCTGCAGTCACTATATCATGGCACTTCATTGGCTTCCAAATGAAATGAAGGCAGTCAGTTGAAGCATTATTGCACAAGATTTATCTAGCTAGTGCTACATAAACCTTACAAGTCGACCGAGCTGCTGGTTAATCAGATCCATCATGTGTCCTGAGGTAATTAAGTATTAAAAGTTTGTGGATAAAATCAGTACTATAATGACTGCTCAAACTTACTTACCTTGTGTAGTTTCTCTCTTTATTTGTTTTCTAACACAGTATGTACGTACTTTACAATCTTTATCTGATTATGATAAATAATTTTCCACATCTGAACTAAAAGTTTTACCCTTTGCATTACACCTCCATGTGTCTTGAATATTTGTTTAGTTGAAACTTTAGCTTAAATATTCCAGCTTATGTGTCGTGAATCTAAATTTAGGCTTTCAAATTTTGATCTTACTAGTTGCTGCAATTTTTTGATCCACATGTTAAGTTGAAATTATAGAGCTTATAAATTGTACCTTTTATTCAAAACCTTCATTTTTCTATTTTATTAAAAGTATTGATCTTAGGTTGACTGCACTCTTAGTCACTACAGTGACATTAATAGTCATTTTATTCTGCACAACAATGCTCAAGATGTTGGATTTACTTTATGAAAGAACTATATGTGTTGTAGTATTTTTTAAAGAAAAAGGAGTTGTTACAGTTAAACTGATAGATGTATTTAAAGTAACAACTTTATGAAAGAACATCATATGTTGCAATGTTTAGTCAAGTTGTACAAATTTAATTAAAATAACAACTTACAAATTTATTATTATGGAGTATTGATATAATTTAAAATGAATTGTCATTATCATTAATATGTGAATTAATAGGGGAACACTTTCCCCTTATGGATAATCATGTTTCCAGTGTGCATGATTGCTACTCTATAGAAATATATATTTATTCTCATACATCTATATATGTTTGATCTTCTAATAATACACAATACATATGTTTTGAGTTGTTTTTTATATATTTAATTTATTTATAGAGGCAAGCATTTTAGAATATATTACTCTAGATATAATTTTAGGGTCTTACTTCAGATTATATTTTAATTAGAATGGCATAGGTGGAATCTAGAAACAGATTTAGGAATTGCTTAATGTTGTTTCTAATAATATAGAGGGATATTAATATGAAAAGTATAGATTCAGTTGTAGTTATTGTCAATGACTGGGTCTATATAATTGATGGTCAGATGATATTTATTTTTCGAATAATTATCAGGGGGCCTGTTCGACAGGACTGAAAAATACTGTTCCGGCTGATTGTTGTGAGAGGAAAATACTATTCTGACAGGACGTGAACAATAATTCTGTGAGGTGGCTGGTCAGCCGGCAGCCAGCCAGCCAGCCAGCCGAACACAGCCAGGATTTGTCTCTTTTTTCTAGCACGTCTCATAAGAATCGACATGAAGACTTCACTCGGGTAATAGTATATAAATAAATAAATAAATTCAGAAGATAGTGGGATAATATGAGCAGGTAGCAGAGCACATCATTCCCAACAAGTATAATCACTGTTTTTTAATCTATCAAAATATAAAGCAGCCATATGATGCTGACTTTTCACCATTCTATCATCTTACAATTCGATCTAATATTCTATTAGTTTTTTTATTGGACTCTTCCACTAGCTTGTGCTCAGTTACGCAAGAGCATGCATGTCCGGCTCATACATGCAACCGTTATTTCTAAAGAAAGTTCTGCTATAATGTGCAGGGTATCATTTTAGTTCTGGTACCTCATAAAACACCACTAGTTTTCAATCTCAACATGCAAATCATCCATGTCCTTCCTCACTAAATGCCGCGTCATGCTCTTAACATGCAAACTATCCACACCATTTCCCACTTAATTCCTTCACTAGATTTCAATATCAACATTCAAGCTATCAACGTCATCTCGGACTAAATGTGACAGTGGCATGACCGCTATGATCTTGGAGGAGAGCTCAGTCTACTAGACATAGGATGCGCCGGGCCGACTATTCGGAGTCCGACATCTACCAATAGTATCTTCACCAACATGCAGTAAAAGGCATAGACATGCATATACCTCAGTTTGTTGGGATTAGTTTTGACCGACTAGGAAACTTATATGTAAACCAATCAGTATGCTGGGTATCTGTAACCGTACCAGGCTGTAAGGGACCTCCTGATCGGTAACTTGACAATCATGCATATACATATGGTGCACAAGCAATACAACCACAAGCACTAGATGTAGGGTATTACCTCTTCTCGAGGGCTTGAACCAGTATAATTTTTGTGTTCCGTATGCTCCCATCTAGATCTGCCCACTGCAAACCTGTAATCATTTGCTGGTGACAAAAACGCCAACAAAATGCCATCATCCCTCCACAAACTTTCAATCTCTTTGCGCAAGCTATTCACAACACCCCTTACAAAATGCTACAACTATAATCAATCTATGAAAATATATGCTATCCACTTTATGTTATTTGTTTTCCCGTTCCTTCAAATTTATAACTCAAATCTAATATCCTCAGTTTTTTATTAGATTCTTCAATTAGCTTGCCCATTTTTGACCAGAAATGATGTAAGTGCATGTATGCCTAGTCATATCTGTAACGTCTTTATTTCTACTAGTATCTACAATGCTCGTAAATATATGACAGTATGACACAGTAATATAGAATTGTCCTAGTTTCATGCTTCTGTTTGTTATTATAAAAGAATTCCTGTATGTTTGACCAGACCAGCTGAGAGAACAATAATATAGTGACGGGCTAGATCTCCATCATCAAAACGGAATCCGTAGCCTGACGGGCCTGCTGGTTAATCTAATCCATCATGCGTACTGAGGTAAAAACGAAATCAGTTTAGCATGTGTCACCTCTTTTTTTATTTGCTTTTTTTTTTATGACCTCCGTCTAGGGCTCTTGATTTAATTTGCCTTATAGGGCTCTAGGTTTAAGCTAGATTCAGAGGGGCCTCTCAATTTACATGTTAGCATTAAGTATTGTAATGATGCCGCTTTCCTCTGACTATTTCTATTGATTGGTCTATGTACGTGTGCATTCATCAGGTTATCGAGGCTGACACGATCGAGGTGGCTGCTCAACAGATTCTCAATGAGCTCAAGCGAGATGCTAATGGAGCAAGCAGAAGAACCAGCAGAAGAGACAATGTCATCTATTTTGACGGCTGGGATGGGTTGGGGGCATCTGCTGTCCTCCGAACCGTCGCGGAACGCCTCCACCCAGTGACTAGAGATTCAGAGGTCCTAGCCAGAGGATTGCACTTCGATCAGATCATCCACATTGATTGCTCCAAGTGGGAGAACAGAAGAGTGCTTCAGAGGGAGATTGCAAAACACCTGCAGCTTCCCACTAAGGTGATGGAGATGTTTGACTGGCAAGATGAGGAGGACGATATCCATGGTGTGGCCCAGGGCTCCCGGCTTGAGATACCACAAGTTCTCAGGGCAATGTTTCGACGCATAAAGGAGCTGAACCACAGGTTCCTAGTGATTTTCCACAACGGGAGCAGCGAGGAGATTGATCTATCCAGCTTTGGCTTCCCTCTATCTGGATACTTCGACAACATGGTGTTGTGGACATTCCAAGGGAGATTCCGGCTCTACCCTAGGATGAAAGTAGGCAGTGCCTTGCATAACAGCGCTGGGACGACGAAGACCGACATTTTGTCTCGGCCTCCTACCTTGACCTTGAGGGGAGAGATCCACAAGAGCTCTGGTATGTCCTTGTTCGTCGAGAAGCTGCAGAAGTTGCAGAAAACAACATCAGAATCCATACTGCACAGGTCGCCGAGTGTTTCTTCTTGCACATGTTGAAGCTATGCTGCATGGGTTACAACTTCAAGATGGACTATGATTTGGCCACCCATGCCTGCAACTACTGGATGTGTGAAGGCATCATGCAGCAGCTGCAGCGGGGAGCTCTTGGAGACACCAACATCGTCAACACTGACGATGATGAAGAATCATGGAGAACTGCTGATGCTTTGCAACGTGAGATACAACTGGACATGGACTACTACAACTATAACCACCAATATTTTCCTTCTCACCTGGTAAGGTATGGCAAGACCATGCCATGCTGGACTTCACCTTATGGGTTTATTCTGGTCCCAGTTGGTGCCATTCCTAATGCGGACATGTTGCTCCAAGACTTCAATAATCTTACAGTGTTGAAGCTCTCGCGCCGCGCCTTCAGCTTCTCATCACCTCCATTCCTCTACTACCACAACCTTAAGTTTCTATGGCTTGACCACTGTGAAGACCAAGAAGTTAGCAGTACAGCCGGTTTCCCTAATGAAGAGAAGAAGAAAATCTCCACGGATAAGAGAGCATCGAAGGAAGCAGACATCCAAGGACAAAGCTGTTTTTTCCAGAAGCTGTGGGTATTGGATGTGCGCTACACATGCTCTGATTGGATCTTGTCCGCACAGATGATGGATTTCATGACTCAGCTCAGGGAGCTAAATGTGACGGGAGCTCAGGATTGGGATATAGGACAGTTGTATGGACGGCTGCCTAACATTCACAAGCTCCGTGTAACAAAGTCTTCCATCCGCTGCAGTAGTTGCTTGGGAAGCTACTTGTTCTCGGAGATGGACAAGATGGAGCTCCTCGACTTATCAGGAAACAGTATTAGTCCCCTAGCGACGAGCTTTTCTGCTGGTCCTGCGGGAAGCATCAACAACAACATTACTGCTAGCAGCGTCGTGACTGTCATTATCGACGACGGGTTTGTTGGTTTAAAAGAGATATCCTTGAGGGGATGTGCCAATCTGAAGAATCTATTCTTGAGAGGAGTGTTACAGGATCTCTACAGCCTGGATATATCGGGCACAGCAGTACAAACATTAGACCTCAGTGCAACGACGACTCCGAAGCTTGATGAGCTCTATCTACTTGGCTGCGACAAGCTTTGTGCAATCCTATGGCCATCACAAGACAAAAGGAAAGAATACTTGAATAAGCTGCACATTGATACCAGCACACGGTTAGGGTTGACCACTCCACCTGTGGGGATGAACATAACAAGGAGGGTAGCACTTCACCATCGTCATCATTTTCGGTGCTGCTTGGTGGCAAAGCACCTTATGAGTTTGAATGGTATATTTCAGTGAGGGATGTGAGGTTCCTTTTGTCGCTTGCACCCATGAGATCCTATTTTGATAACTGCACGACACATGTCGAGATTTCCTCTCCTACTCATCATACCACTGATGCTGGCGGTAGCATTGTTAGCAAACATAATGAAGGAAATTACAACAGCATTCAAGTGTTACATGAACATACAAGCACAACCTTCAAGTACCACCTGCTGCAAGCAAGAGAAGGCTGTGGCGATGATGCTCCTTTCGATGGAAGGCTGAAGTGCTACATCAACATACAAGACACCAAGATCTGGACCAAATCACCGCTGGGTGTCAAAGAAACCATGACCAGTATTGCTATGCCAGATTTTATATGTGATGGAGTTTTGAGCCTGCATGTGCACGATGCCTTGTCCATGGCCATCCCTGGGCCTGTAGGGGGAAGATGGAATGCCTTGCTTTGGTGCCGAGTTGAGCGGTGCCCCAACCTTGACTCTGTCTTCACCCTCCTGCTCCCCTGCAGGTAGCTCAAGGTGGACAGCAGGCTGATGGAAACGATCAAATATTCTGGTACCTACTTACATTCTGGGGCTCTCAGCTCCCCAAGGTGCGCTTCATTTGGAACTGGGGCAAAACATCCTTCTTAGTTCTATCTGATAATTGGTGGTACTCCAGATTGCCATTTGTATATCTGCAGTTCTTGCACTTGGACTCGTGCCCTAGGCTGATACATGTACTTCCCCTGCCCAGGACAGTTATGGGTCGCTGCCTGAAAAACATTGTGACCCTCGAGATCGTGTGGTGTAGTGACCTCAAGGAGATCTTTCCCTTTTATTATTCTGGTGCCGAAAGCAGTGACAAGCAACGGGAGTCAACGTACGAGGTGGAATTGTCGAGCCTGAAGCATATCCACTTGAACGAGTTGCCCAGGCTGCGCAGCATCTGCGGCGGGAATGCACGGTTGGGTGCGCCCAACCTCGAGACCATAAAGGTCAGGGGCTGCAGGAGCCTCAGGCGCCTGCCAGCCGTCAGCTGCACCTACGACTGGAGAATGAGGGTGGAGCACGACGCCCACAACAGGAGCAAGAAGGTGGAGTGCGACTGCGAGAAGGAATGGTGGGACAGGCTGGAGTGGGATGTTGGAGGCCAGGTTCCTGCACCATCCTTTACCAGCCGACCCACCCACGGTATTACAAGAAGAGAATGCTCAGGGGCTCTGGTGCTCGTATGAGGTACGTGTGTGATCCCCATCAGCCTTTTGATTTTTCTGTTTGTGTGTAAATGAACGGACGAGTAAAACGGATCTCTCTGTCTCGTGTGTCTTTCCTACAGTCAGGAAACAGTGAGGCCTACTCTCTGCTGTGCTTGTCTGCTTCAACTCTCTATCCTACCCATGGTTTTGGTTGATTTGGTTTGTCGTCAGATGGATGCATGCTCGGCCCTCTGCTTGTGTCTTTGCGGCCTGCACAGACAGCATTGGCATGGTGGACATCCAGTGCCCTACGTTTGCTTTGCTTGCTTCTTTGCGTTGGCTTGTCATCGAGGCTACGGTGAGCTTCTTTAATGGTGTGGTGTGATACAGATATGGACCCCTGCTGCCCTTATATTAGCAGTAGAGATCGAAATAAATTAGGGCGAGCGAGAGAGCGGCTGCTCTCCCGTCTTGTGTGTTGTGTTGTGCTACTTTTGATGTGAGGTTGCTTGAGTTTGGTGTGTTGTGGTGTGGTGTGCTACTTTTGATGTACTTCTACCCTGAACTAAATAAACAGGGATGAATTAATACATGCTGCTGCTCTTGTTTTGTTGTATCTTTGCCTTCCTCGTGCATCGCTGCATGTCTATGTGCGACATGGCCACGTGGGCTACAATACTTATTGCCATTCCAAGATCAGTGCGTGTTTCGTTTATAAAAATAATAGTAATGCTGAAACTGTTTTTTTTTTCTTCTGTCTACGGGGGGAAAGACTCCCCACCTGATTTTATTTGTGTGATCTAGGTCTCTTTTGGAAACCCATCAAATTCAAAGTATTGTAGAAGATGCGGTTGCCAAAGAAACTGGGAATTTTGGCGCAGAACTCAAATTTAAAATATGATTTCCAGTCCAATTTGTTAGTCTGCGACTCTGAATCGAATTTATCTGGGCTCTGTACTGCCAGGACAGTAATAAAAAGCTGCAAGTTTTTGGTGGGTCAACCAGATTCACAGAAAGAAAGTTGGGGCCGAACCCAACTGTTACTGTTCCTGCGCAAAATGGCCGCAAAACGGAAAGTTAGGCCCAACCCAAGCTAGGCAAAGTACCGGGCCCAAAGTGGGACAACGGGCCATAGGTAGGCCTGCTTACCACGAGATGGACCCCACGATCCCCCCAAGGCCAAGCCAAGCCAAACTCAACCGATAGCAGTCGCCGCCGCTCGCCGGAGAAGGAACCGACGGCGCACTCGTGCTCCTGCTTCCCAGAGCGACCCCAAACCTTACCACAAGGCCACGAGCCCCCTTGCCCCCTCCGCCAGCCCATGCGAAGCTCGCGCCTTCCCCCGACCTCTCACCCGCGGGCATGATCCGCGGCGATGGAGTACCCGGCGCCGTCGTCCGCCGCACCTGACCCTCCCCTTCACCCTCCTCCTTCCATGCTCCCGCACCCGCAACCGCCGGAGGAGGAGGGGGACGGCTGGGTGCTCGTGCCGGCCAGCGAGGTCGAGGGGGCCCACGCGCCCAAGGTCATCCACTGGGACGACCTGCAGCAGGAACTCGCGCGCCTCTGGAGCCTCTCCGCCGCGCTCCAGCCCGCCGGGGATCGCAAGGCGCACCTCGCTGCGCGCCTCGAGTCCGCGCTACAGGTAATTGTCTGTCGATTCAGGTGGCGCGCTCATTGCTCTCGATTCCCAGCAAAATTGCTCGGATCCCCTGTTGTGCCCTCTGTCATTCGATGCTCCACGGATCTTGGCGCTTCTCTTGTCGATCATCAATTGGAAAGATCGAATTCGTTTTCCCAACCTTTCAAGAGGAAAACCTGCACTCCCAAATCTGAAGATTGAACAGCGTCCATGGAGTAATTCTCCATGTATTTTGCTCATGTTACCTTTGTGTGTACACCAGAGTGTTGCAGATTTGTGACGTAATGGTGTTCGTTGACAGGTTCGCCAGGAGTTTCTCGAGCAAGACAATGAGTTGGCTGAAATGAGGCAGAGACTGCAAGGGCATACTGATCGTCTGGGGGATCTGAAGCTGCGCACAAAGAAATTGTCGGAGGATGTTGTGGATCACAGGGAACAGCTTTGTGTCAAGATCAGAACGTTGTCAGTGGCAAGCAAGGCTCTTGACGCTGCCCACGGTAATCTGAAGGTATTCAATTATTGTGTTTTGTTTCCCTTTGGAGCTCTAAGGATACTGTCAGCACAAAATCAAAGTGCTACAAAAAATACGCAGGGTGTTGGGCAAAGTAGCTTCCTTGATAGTCTGTCTAACTTGTGTAAGATGTACTCTTCAATGTGTTGCTTGGTGCTTATGGGTTCACAAAATGTTGATTCTAGGGCAGAGAAATTTCCTATACATTCAAACTGGATACTATGGAGCTGTTCTATTCCTCTAATGTCTAATCTTACCAGAGTATTTCATTTTTCTGGTTATAGGAAGCTAATAAATTGCTGTCAGGGAAAATGGTTGTGGACACCTTAAAAATCTGGAACAGAAGTTACGGATGAGACAGCAATATATGATTTGCTAAGTTGCTCAGATATATCCTGTGAGCCCTTTGGATGAACAATCTCCAGATCACAAGCCTGGATTTACCTCCAACATAACCAAAACAAGTATGTCATTTCCTGCATTGCAACTTCCATGGGGTTTCCATTCCGTATTCAGAATTGCTATAAAATTCTATGGCTATTTTTTTGACAATAAAATTATTGTAAACATTGTTGTTCAATAACAGACCTTAATAATCGAAAAATAGGGGATGGCCAGATGATAGGCAAATAATAGTTATAATTATGGTCATATCAGTGTATGATTACAGTTGATTATTGACTAAGCTACAATTTCCTAGTTGCCAGATAGTACATTTGATAATACAAATTGCTGAAATTGATTCTAACAAGTGTAAAATTTTCTATGATACTGAAAGAGTTATTTGAAACATGAAACTTTTATATTTTGTCAGACTTAATGGATAGAGAGCTAGTCCTCTAAAATATTGTTGCCAGTTTACCTGCCCTAAGACTCTTTGTCCTTAAATGTTGTTTCTGCAATTCTTGTCAAAACTTAAATACTATAATTTTTTTTCAGGAAATGCTGAATCAGGGTTGCCAAATGGGTCCCAAAACAGACCTTTGGTCATATTGGGTCTACAGTTATCAAAGCTTTCTGTGAAAAAGACTGGCTACTTTAGTGACAAGACAGGTGCTCAGAAATCTTCTACTGTTCTGGGATATGCTGCTCATGTATGTATAATATAGTTTGATTATTATCAAATGATAATTGAATTCACCATTCAATAATTCATCTAGTATTTCCAATTTCTTTGCTAGAGAAATATTAATTTTTATACTTTTTGTTCTGTTTTAGAAAGAATATATGTTCAGATTAGGTTACACTTGTAGCTGAACAGTGTTCTTCAGTTTGTACTCTATTTTATGGTGATAGACCTAACTGTGTTTCTTATGAATCATAGGCAGTCTCCCTCATTGCATCGTATCTCAATGTTCCTCTTCGATATCCTTTGCGCTTTGGAGGTTCACGGTCATATGTTCTTGTTCCTGCTCCTTCAGTTGAGCCATCATCTATAACCTCAGTAGCAACTTCTGTCCCTCCTAGCACAAGCATGAGAACAGTGGAATTCCCTCTGTTTCTTGACAGCCAGGAGACAACAAGATCAGCATATGCGATATTCTTGTTGAACAAGGTTGGTCTTCTTGCTATTTGGATATTTATTTGATATTTTAATGTGAAGTGAGCATTTAATAACATTGATTATGGTCCTTGGAAGATGTTTTCTGAAAGAAAGGTCTGCCTATTTCTGTTTTGCAAATCCCCTTGAAGCTTGATTCAGCCTCGAGTAAACAAATAGGGGGGTGGGGGGTGCAGACCCAGTGCCGGAGGCTCCCACATGAGTGGGGTCTGGGGAAGGGAAAAACCGAGGCAAGCCTTTCCCCCGCAAAATCTGCGGAGAAGCTGCTTCGAACCCGCGACATGGTGACTCAGTGAGACAGCTCTCACCACTGCACCAGGCCTGCCCTTCTCAAGTAAACAAATAGGTGGTCTCAAATACTAATTTGGGCAGGATCTACCTGTGGTTTGGATCTAGAGTGGGTGAATGAGTGTAGGATAAGAAATCAATGTTAACTGAATTTGATAGCATGATGTGGAAGTACCAAAAGTGTCAGCTCACAAAGATGTTACCATGTTTCTGAACAACATATAAAGTGGAGAGGAACAAAGAAAATAGTGTCACATAGAGCAATTGATAAATGCATAAAGATCTATATTCCATTCCCCAGAAAAAAAAGAAACATTTGTTTACTGCAACCACCTGGAATGTGTGGCTATGAGAAATCATACGATTGTACTTCATATTCCTTTTTTTTTTGCATCATTGTGCTTTTTTTTTCAGGATATCGAGCAACTTCTGAATTACATTGGCGCTGAAAGCCTCGGGCCAAGACATGTCTTAGCAAACCTGAGGCAGCTGACAAGGATCATCCAGTCACAAGAATACACTTCTGTTGATTAGTTTGACCCAGATATAGTTTTTGGAGCTATGAGTTTAGTCCAGAAGATGTGGTTGGTGCTGCTTTTAACAGGCACCCTCTCATTGTAAATGAGTAAATCGAGTCACTTCCAGGTGTACAGGAAAGATGCGGACAATAAACGAGATACTACTGTACTACTATGCAGCAACTAGAGGTGCTTGTTCATGCCAAAGTTACTGTTGTTTTAGCGTGTTTCTTGATGTTGATAGTGTTGTTGAGAAACACACCCCTGGTTCAACTGCACATGTCTGAAGCAATGTTTCTTGTACCTTCAACTGCATGATCTAGTTAAACGATGAGCGGATCAGTTCACTCCTCTATTTTTTCCTTGTCATAATTTTGTTTATATCAAGAAACAGTAGTAAGTGGTATTGGTGGGGGCCCTTACGGAGAATGCAACGACTGATGATTGATGAAATTGCAGAGGAGTAAAACGAGCTGTGCCTTTTTCTTTTGGCGTGTACGAACTGTGTGTTGCGTGGCATTGTCAGGCGTCCCATATTCGTTGCCGTCTTGATCAAACTGAAATCCTTTCATCTTCATGAGTCTAATCCCACGTGCAGAGGTGGTAATGCAATGCCACGACAGACGGAGATGTAGGAGGCCTCGCTCGGACATGTGTAATGCTTGGGTTTTACAGGTAACGTGGGATTCACCGATCATTATGGCAGTGCCAGTGTCCGGACGTTCACGTCTCCACTTTGTTTTCCGTATGCGTGCATGCACTCCACGCCCGCGCTTACATTTCACGCGCCCACGCGGGCCCGTGCCACCCGGACGTCGCCCGCGCACCAGACCACGTGCCGGGACAGCTCACACCCCTTCCGTTTCTCACGCGCATTGCAACATGCGCAACACCCGATCTACTTTGCATCATCTACACCATATGTTCAAAATGGATGAAACACTTGCAAAACACTAAAAAGCAATTGAAAGTCATTGTAAGCATATGCAACATCCAGGTGAAACAATTGCAACATATATATGAAACATATGCAACATCCAGATAAACACAATTGTAACTTACGTCTAAAAAAATAGATGAAACATTTGGAACAGACGTTAGCAATATATGTGTATAGCCATTGCAACATATGCAACATCCCGCTCTACTTTTGTAACATCCATATGAAGCAATTGCAACATACCTCTGAAACATCTGAAACACTTGAAACATATGCTTGCAACATGTCAGACGCGACACTCTAGTGGGCGGCGACCTCTATGTCAGGCGTGTTGAGGAACTCGATAACCGCCTCGATGGGCAGATCAGGGCTGGGAGGCGGCGGAGCGAAGAGCACCATAGACTTTGTCATCGCGAGTTTCTTTGCTGGGGGCACTGGGGCGCGAGGAGCCTCGAGGCAGGTGCAAAGTACGGCACGACTGCGACGCCCTCGCCGTCTCCGGCCACAGGAGGAGGTGATGAGGAGGACGCCAACGTCGGCGTTGGCAGGAGGCGCGACTCCAGCAGCGGAGCCTGGCGTCACGGAGGCGGGTTAGGTCCCGGGATGGAGGAAGCGCAGGTGGTCGCCGCTAGCGGCGGCGGACGGGGAGCGAAGCTTGCGGCGAGCGCGCAAGGTAGAGTGGGAGATTTTTTTGTGAGGCGGCGTTCGTCACGTCCACACCGCAGCATTACCGTAATCATTAAGCTATTTTCTTCGTCCAGGCCCCAAATGAGATGATCCAAGTATTCTTTCTGATTGTCTTGATGATGGAAACATGATGGTGGACTCCGTTATACACTTTGGACAATTTTGGGTGTCAACAATTACCATGGAACTTTGGAAATCATAATTATCAAATCTATACTATTTTAGAAGTAGTAAGAAGCAAAGCAATATATGTTAGTCGATGATGAGTATCCAAGCCCATATGTTAGTCGGCCATACATCTATTCCCACGGTTCAAAGAAGCAAAGAATTGGTTTTCGCCTCCTAGATAATACTATTGTGCCCCTGAGAGAAAGCTTGAAGATGTGTCATGATCGTCTACAATTACCTACGCCAAGTACTTCACCTACATCAATTTATTTGGCAAAGGTTCAGTTATGAAGAGAGATATCGAGGGCTCAAGGCCATGTGAAGGAGCAAGCTGCATAAAGTTGCACATGGTCAAGCGAAGGTTACTGCCAAAGATAAAATCATCCCTAGACTATTTTGTATAGACGAGTGTTGTATGCGTGCTATTGTCTCCATACCCTTTTTTCCACGAGGTTTTTGGGATGGAGATTTTAGTGAGGCGCATATGCATAGGTTGCGAAGGGTGATCCTCACAGCTGGGTCTGAGTTGTAATTAGGCCACACTTAGTTGTATCATATGTTACGGACCCTCATTTGTGTGTTTCCCAATTACATAACCTAGGGGCTCGTGAAATAATGTTTAGGGCCAAGTTGTAGTTCCTAGAAACTCTTTTATAAATACAAACTCCACCAGGAGAAAGAATGAGAACTTCTCCACCCACCTTTCCTATAAAAGGGGAGGAGGAAGGTGGAGAGGGGGTGGCCCTTGATTCATTTGTCTCTCTCACTTGCTCTCTACTCCCACCTCTGTATGTTCGGTCTAGGACCAATAGATGGAGAACAAAATAAGTGCCTATAACATTTTCTAATAAATTCACAATTTAAAGTTTTTAATTGCCTCAAGTATAGTCTATGGTTGCAAATGTCATTGTATTCCCACTCGATCTTAGGCAAGATCTTTGTGCACCTAAAGATGAAGACATGTATTCTCAATAATCATCAAACAAAATAATTGTCCATACCAAATATACATGACTAAGTAACTTACTCTTTATTGTCGTTATGTTTACATGACTCAAGGAACGTGCCACAAATAATCTTTAAGCCCTGAGCACCAACTCTAAATGTCCAAATATGTCATATCATTAAAAGAGTGTTAGTCAAAAAAAAGAAGAAAATTAAGTTTTTACACACCACACTATTATAAAGACATGACTTTCTAGAAGGGAGCACATTGTTACATCTCATTTTAGAAAATCTATAATACTGGCTATTTCATCAAAGTTCACTTGGATCTTCTCACTGAAAACCACACAAAGAAAATACAATTATACCATTTAAATATTACCCAAAAGAATACAATTCTAGCGACACAGAGAGAAGCAGGTGGCATAAGTAATAATTTTAGTTAGTTGTTCTCTAATTTGTTATCAAAATATAAGGATTGCATTCATTATGTGACAGAGAGAGTAAACATTATCATAATGTGGAGAGTGTATTGATATATACAAGACCAGCTTTGTGAAATTTTTTGACATCATCTCTTGAAGCAAGACGTTAACTAATCCTATAGGCCAAATGCGCCTAATAATGATAAGATAGGCAATTAAATGCTTTCCTCTCTCTCTAGCTAGAAAATGATCACATACGTACCTAAGCAAAGACAAAGAAAATTGTGTAACTTGGCTACAACACTAGATACTAGATCAAATAAATGCTTCTTGAGGGCAAAAACAACCATTTCTAATAAAAACAAAGATTATAAGAACAACGTAATGACGAGATATACAAAAATGAAATGTGCAATTGAGAAATGGAAAGTAGCTTTATTAGATGCGCCTATGAGTGAGGGCTCCTCAGCCACTTTATCGATTTTTTGATTCCATTTGACTCTCAATCAAAGTATGGTGAAGCAGGCAAGCATTGACTTTTGTATAGCTGCTCATTCCAGCTTTCCAAGCTGAACACACTCATCAGATCATAGCTTAGGTCATCAACATTACCCTCTACCTTAGGTCATCAACATTACCCTCATTAGAGTAAGGATAGAAGCACTTCAGGTTTTAGGGTACAAGCCTACTGTATGAACTGTTATCATGATGCGACATGGACATACACAGGCCTGCTGCTCATATCTAGGGCGTGACACACCTCTAATAGTTGTACCCCTCATACAACACAAGGATGTGGACATGCCTTACCTGCCATTGTGAGTACACTATCCCTACTACTTGACACCATGAGTGGGAAGCTCTCCCCTGCACATCCTCCACCTACCCCAAGTACATGCATGATGGTACGAAGTGGATAACAATAAGTACCGCAGAAGACCCTATGAGGACGAGCCGACCTTATGGAACCCTTCTCATCTTTTTGTAACACTCCCCATTTTTATAGGGGATCTCTTCTAGGACACGAGAAACCATAGACGTTGATAAGAGTCTAACATAGGGGCATGTTAAGTCCCCGAGAAGGAGAGAGCAAATCGAATGATCTCCCAACCGACTCTACAAATTGCTCGGGGGCTATACCCATCAGGTACACTCACGCGTACCCTCTGGTAGAGTAGAGATGGCTCAGCAGCCCACGAATCGCCCTTCCCAAGGAGCCCCGCGATGTCAAGAGGATGAGCCCAAGCAAGCTAGCAGCCATTGCTCGAGGCTCAGCCACAGCAAACCAGGATCCCGACAGATGGGGAGCCTAGGCCAGGCCTCTACCCTAGCGACTGCATGAGCGACCACCTAGGCCATCGCTTAGGAACCAACCAACGTCCCAAGTCAAGACCGGATGCTGGCTTAGGAACCTATCATGCGTCCAAAGCCTGATAGACGCAGAGGCACTACACCGTCTATATGTTCCACAGCTGCGAGGCACTATCAGCCACTCACTCGGCAAGGTCATGCAATGAACGTGACACATCAGGACAAGGGATTCCCCAAACCCTAGGGCAGAGGGCTCTGTGCCTGCTTGTCAGGCCCTCTAGGCGAGGGAGTCTCCTTGCGCACCAAGGAAGCCTCGAGAAGGTTCACTCGAGGGAGACCATGTAGCGACAGACAACACCTGATGGTCAAGTGCCAGGCTGCACCAAAGCATCAGGGAGTGGTTGTGACATTGTCGGCTCCCTCCTACATGAAAAAGGAGTACCTGGTGGCACCAAGATGAAGGAACCATAAACACCAGGTGGAGAAGCCTATAGGTTAGAAACAACTCGGTTTGTACCCCATGCCCTCCTTGGTATATAA